GATGTCATTATGTGAAAAGTCAGGATTAGTTTGGTAATTGACCAAGGTTAAGTCAAAGGTTGATTTTGATGATGTAATTAAATTCTATAGTTAATTTTATGGGTTTGAAGTGATATTATTATGATCAAACAATGTCTAGATTAATTTCTAAAAATAGGTCAAAGTAAGGTTAATTAGAAACTAATGGAAATTGATTTAAGTCAAAGTTGGATGCAAAGTTGTCAAGTTAGTAACATAGCTTGATTTTGTGAATTCTTTGCATGGTTTTTGATGTGTGAGTGAATCTATATAACCTTGAATGATGGATATTCAAGAAGGTCATAGTTAGGATGAAATCAACCAATTAGAATTTGTTGGGCAAGTGGCTTCTTTACAGGAGGATGTGGGAGAACACCTAGAGGGGGGGGTGAATAGGTGTTTCCAAATTTTTCAAAAACTTTTTTTTATTATATCCTTAAAAATGATATGCTACACAAAGTTGAACTAACAAGTTCAATCACCACACCAACTCAACAAGATTGACAATTATTAAATTATTTTGCAAGTTCAATTCAGATAACAGTCACACAACTATAACAATTTTACTAATTTTACCTTAGGTCCTTATATGTCCAAAATGATTTCTATATGATGTATATCAACTGAACACGTACCTAACCTTTTATTTTACAGAGCAAACGTAGCAACAAACTTTCTTAGTCAAAATAGAAAACAATTAATTTTCAAATACTAGAAAAGAGTTTAAGTGCTACAACAATTATATTAGAACCAGTAAGATGCTACAACACTTACAAACCAGAATCAGCATAAATATCAGTCTCTAAACAGAATATTCAGAAATTAAATCAGAGAGACAAGAGACACACGATATATCCTGGTTTACACCCACTAAGCCTAAATAGGGTGTTACATCCAGACTGAAGTAGCTACAGATATTTTATTTATCACAAGTGTATCTTTTATACAAACACGCATCACACAAGCAATCAAACAAAATATAAAATCTTCCTAGTGCCTACACTGCTCCAAGCTCTGAGAATACTCTCAAGCCGAACCTACGGAGTTCACCAACTCCCCTCCCACAAGATCTCCACTCTTCCTAGTGGATTCTTAAGGCTCCAAGCCTTGAAACACACTCTCAAGCCAAGCACAAGGTAGCCAACCCACACGATTGCACCCACACACCTAGGACAGATTTACAGCACGCAACTACTCCACTTTAACAACCAATACAGAATTTTTCAGAACTGTAACAAGTGAAATAATCCAAAAATACAATGTCCTATCACGCCAAATATATCACAGTAATATCAAACTAAGCTCCACAAATCTATGCCATATGCAGAAAATTAAACCAATACATATGTATCAAAATCTCTAAATATAATGCACTAAGGAGCTTGGATATTACAAAATTAATTCTCTAATCAATAGACAACAAGAAATTTGATTTAAACAAAAAATATCACAATTATAACCAGAAAAATCAGATTTGAAATTTATCTCGAAATTTCACATAATATTCATAATTAATTCTAGATTAATCTTCTAATACAGAACCACAAGAAAATCTGAATTAAACACAATATGCCTCAATGAAACCAAAAATTCAGATTTAACATGCTTAACCAAAATTCTTCAAGATTTCATAATATAGGGTTCAAATAAAAATATTAACCAAGAATATGAGTTGATTATTGTTTACCACAATGAAGTCCTAAAAATTTATTTAATCTGCTCCCTCAAGAAAGATCAGCGCTGTTTATACCCAGAAAGAACAATAGAATCAAACAATCTTCTAATTCACAAGAGATTCAACACCATAGAGTGAACATATGGAAAGTAAACGAGCAAGGTCTTCTGCGAAGCGAATGCGATAGAGAGAGAGAGAGAGAGAGAGAGAGCACTGTTCAAAATACTAAAATTGGAGACTTCTTGGAATGGGGTTTTTCTTTGGAAGAAGATGAAGAGCACAATTGTATTATGAAGAAAGCTTGGATTAGCCTTTCAAAAATGAAGCAGAGTAATTTTGTAAATCACGAACTCTTAGTTTCTTGATGGAAGATTTTCGCACAGAGACGATGATAATAAGAGATGAAAGTCCTTTTTCATATTTGGATCAAAGAGAATAGCTTTTTGTGCATATATATTTTTTTTTTGGTAAAACTAAAGTTAAGCCTTTTTTATGAGAAAAGTGTTTGTCATTTTAAATGACATAAAGTTATGTCATTTTAGGAGACATAGACACAAAATATTATTTTTTATTAAAAATTTAAATTAAAAAACCACTCACTTTCTCCCCCATGATTTTCATTCCTTGTGTTTATTTCTCTCCTAAAATGACATAACTTATGTCATATAAAATAACAAACATCAAATCTTTTTTTATTACTATTATATATAATATAGGTAACAAAAGGCTAACCCATATGACCTGATCATCAAATTTTTTTAAGCTTAGTAAAGCTACTTTTGTTATTATTTTATTATTTTGTTTTCCAAAAGCTAAAACCCACGTTAACTTTATGGGGTTTATACCTCTCATGCGGCTGCATTGAAAAAACTTCTACATCTCTCACATTGATTCCTGCGCCCAGCCATTTTTCTTTTCTAAAAAGTAAATGGGACCCACAGTAGTTATTTCTGCCGCAGAAGAAGGTTGTTCTCCTTTGAAAGGAGAAGTTGTTTTCCGTAACTTTATATATGCAAATACTAATTGCAAAGTAACTTTAAAAGATAACCTGATTACATTTCTAATTAGTAAGGTTTTTATTTCTTTTTATATTTCAGTAGAAATTTTTTTTCCAATTTTTTTTTATGAACGTAAAGTGAATAGTGATAAATAAGAAAAACAATCCCTGTATATGGATATAATATCAACTTTAAAAAGTCAAATGTTGATTGCTTTCTACTTGTAAAAATATATTTGAGAATTTTATTATTTATTAAAACTGATTTCTTTTAATTTCTATTTCTAAAATGAAATGCATATAATGCAATGGTATGCAATGGAGCTTAGAGAGACGCTATGTGATATAATATAGTGTGTAACAAAAATTCTAAAAATACCTAACCACTTGTATCTTCAAGCTCCATATGAAATTATGATGTGGTTATGTGTAGTGTTTGGAATGTGGTGTTGTGAGTACTTAATGTATTGTTGTGATTTGGTTGTCAGCATAGAAAATGTTGTATTGTGATTAATCTGATAACAGATTAAAGTATAATGGATAAATATAGTATACTGATATAAAGAGTTGTAATTTTTGAATAAGGGTGTTATAAATATAGTATACTGATATAACAGATTAAAGATAACTTTGGTAGAATTATTGAGATTAAGTATTATCGTGAACACATCCAGTCCTCGGTTGGTTCCGATTACTCTGTAAAACAGAGATATATGATATTCTGATGTGTTTTGATGATTATGTGAGATGTGTATTCTGATTATCTGGTTAATTTGATTAGTGTAAAGTAATAATCTTTTTGGTTACGAGAATTGTGTGTTGTGGATAATTTTGAAAGAAGTTTCTGATTTCTGAAGTAAATTCTAATTGTGTGGAATAAGCATATTCTAGATGATTATAACTTCTAGAATAAGAATGTGAAGTATGTGTTATAAAGTATTTGTTGTGAAGTAATTAATGAAACTATAACTTGTAAAGTTATGTATGAATAATGAATGGTAAGAATGATGTAAAATAGTTAACTGTATTATTTGAAAATATATGGTGTACTCTGTGTTTGGGAATTTAACATGTAATGCAGAAAGTGAACTCGAGGGTGGAGACTTCTCCATAAACCTTGAGCTTATTGAGTTTATCTCACCTCGTGTTACGGGGATACATTTCAGGTACTTCTAGAGTTGGAGATAAGGATAAGGGTAAGAAACCAATGGATGAAGGCCAGAATTATGTTTGGAGTTGCTAGTTGAAACAGTTACATGTTTTGTAAATTATCTGTATATATGTTTTAATGTGGTATGACTGGTGTAAACATTATTTTGAGATGCCTACGTTGCCTATGTAAATAATTTTGTAAAGGATAACAAAGATATGTACATGTTTATGTGGTAGGTTAATGTAAGTGGCACAGAGCCATCTTTATTGTAGAGTTTGAATGGAATGAGTATTGTGTCGTTGTTAACTAGTGAAATTGTGAAATTCCTAGTTGTTGAATAAACAGCGGAGATGTTGTCAAAAATTATAGAAAGCATGGTTAAATTAATGGTGACTTTGAAAAGTCATAACTTGTTCAATACTTTGTCAAATGAGACGTGTGAGCTGTCATCCTGAAGCTTAGGTTGTAAGTGGTGTTGTCCTAAAATATGGGACTACAATGAGCGGTGTTTAATGTCCAATTTTCATTGGAATGTTCGCTGCCTAGTTGTAGTGGCATTGGCGGAAACTGGTTGTTAACTTTGAAAGTTAATAACTCCCCCGTTTCTTATCTAAACAAGACTTATAATATATGAAGTTGAAGGTCTAGGTATCAAATATAACTTATCCAAAATTGAGAGCAGACAGATAAGTGGTTTCTTTGCAGCTTTGAACGCAGTGAGCTAACCCGGATTCGCTGTTGTCGTATGTTGAAAGTTTTGAGTAGTTAACTTACATTAAACATATCTGGAGTTGTAGAAGTCCAAATTAAGCTTATGATACCTTGTTGGAAAGATTAGAGGATCTAGCTTAACATACTAAAATATGAGAATTTATTTATAAACAAGTCAAGTGCAGTTTTGGAAAATCTGAATCTATATAAGGTTAGTAAAGTGTGTAATAGTGTGTGGAAGCTTTGTTGGTTTATGGAATCCACTTAGCAATTCTTTGTATATGTATTGTGTGATATTTAAGCAGTAACAATTTTGTATTTCGCAATTGTTTTTGGTTATGATCATGTTATGAGAATTATTTTTAAATACGATCATTTTAAATGAAAAAGTTGTTTTAAAAAGGAAGAATTTCTATCGTATTTTAATTCAATTGTCGTGATTATAACTATGCTGCAAACATCCTCCTGCCTAGGATGGCGTTGTAAGCGGATGGTGTATCCAGTACTAGGAATTGGATGTCTGCAGATCGTGATGTTGGCGGCGTTCCAAGCGAGAGACGCAAGTTTATCACCCCCAAAGGCTTGGTGGTGGTAGCATTGAAACTTGAAAGTTCAGCTGCGACAGGAGTTAAATCGTTAATTGTGAACCCTAATGCTTTGAAACATGGCAAGAATAAAATATCGGCTGAGCTGCCGTGGTCAACAAATACACGGTTGACGGTGTAATTGGCGATTATCGCTTGGATGACAAGTGGGTCGTCGTGCCCGGGGAGAACGTCCCCCAACTCGCTGCTGTCCCAAACTATGTTTGGCCTGGCTGGGCCATGGTGCCCTTTATCTTTGCTGATCACCTTTCCTGCAATCGTCAGGCATTGTTTTAGATGCTTCTTCCTGGCGTTAGACGTTTCGCCCCCGCCGCTTAAACCTCCAGAGATAATATTAATTACTCTGTGCTTGATGGTTGCAGAGTCTTCTTCTTCAACACGCCTCCCTCCTCGGCTCGGGCTTGTCTGTGTTCTGGTTCTTTGAGGTGAGTCTTCTCTTTGGCCTCGTTCTTGGCGGGACCGAGCATTGGCCTGATCGGTTTTCCTCCTTTCTGGCGACTTGCTTCGGTCGCGGTATCGCCTGCCTGATCTGGAGGGGCGAGCATTATCTCCTCCATTTTTTTTTGTACCGCCTTTGATGAGTTCGTCAATCTCGTCCTTGAGGCGCCTGCAATCCTCTGTGTTGTGGCCACTACTGCGATGAAACTTGCAATATGGCGCGACCTCTTTGCTTGGTTGCTGGGGCCTTTGGTTGCTTTTGGGATCCTTTTTGTAATCTGTTTGTAAGACAGTGTGTGACCGTCGTTCGGATGTGTCCTGCCCAGAATGGCGGGCAGAACGGCTGGATGCTTGGTATCCTTTCCTACTTTCATCAACATGATTCCTTCCCTTGCTGATCGCCTTTTCTTGACAGTGGGAGTCATTAGCTCGACTCCCTTTGTATTCTTCAATTCTCATAAATTCCTGCGCCTTTTTCTTGACTTCCTCTAAGTCAGTAATTTCATGTCACGCGAGCTCGTAAGCGAACTCTCCTTGTCGCAAGCCTGACAAGAGTATATGTACCTGTACTTTGGGGTCTAGGCCTTGCACTTGGAAGGCTTCTTTATCAAAACGATCTAGGAAGGACCGGAGGGTCTCGCCAGAAAGCTGTTGTACTTTTTCAAGGGCGTGCACGGATTTGGGTACGGGGCGACTGGTTGCAAAATGGGATTGAAACTTGCTTGCTAAATTGTCCCATGACGCCATGCTTCCTGTTGGCAGGGTGGTGTACCAGGTAAGGGCTCTCCCTCCCAACAATGTTGGGAAAGTTCAGCACATGAGTAAATCCGTTTCGCCGTGGAGTGTCATTGCTGCTTCGAATTTCTGGATCCACTCAAATGGATCGGTATCGCCAACGTATGTGGTGATGTTAGAGGGACCCTTGAAACCCAGAGGTATGGGAGTTAGCCTCAGGCTATCGGTCAAAGGCTTGTTACGCCCTGACGTGTGGGCAGGCGTTACTCTGATATATTCTCTTTGTGGACGAGGCATTTGTGGGGCTTCAACGAAGTAGGAGAGGGCTGGGGCTTGGTGGAAAGCTTGCTGAGCGTCATATGGTTGTTGGTTAGGATTCGGGCAAGATGCCTGAGGTTGTGGAACGGCTGCGTTATGGGGTTGCATGGCGTAGCCATGGAAAGGGAAACCAGCTTGGTGAGGTAGTTGAAAAGGAAAAGCCACGTTAGGCGTGTATGGCCTAGGAAGGTATGGGGCGACCATGGGTATCTGGCGGTCATGGTATACTGGCAGTGGTTGACTTTGGGCTGGTAACGGAGGACGGGTGAGATAGGCAGGTTGTGGGACAGCTGCTGGAAATGGCATTCCAAAATGGACTCCGGGGGGAGGTGGCTGGTTTAGGACTACATTTTATCCCTGCATCTCGCACATGGGTGCTTGATGATGTTGCAGGGAGATACTAGCATCATTCGTTGGCAACTGTGGGCCTATGGTCTGTAGTACAGGAGGTTGGACTTCTCCAGCAGCCCGCTCGGTTGGGGCCGAATGCATGGATGGAGGGGAGCTTGGTTGTACTGTCTGTAGGTGTCCTTCTAGCGTCATGGCCCTGGCGTGCTCCGCTCTCCTGGTGGTGACAACCATGTAGAGTTGTAAAAAGTGTCTGGCGGTTGTTTGTTAGTAAGAGGAAATGACCCGTCAAATGGATATTTGGGTAAGAGAATGGGAATAGAAGTTTATCTTTTCCCACAGACGGCGCCAATGTACCGTTTGGTTCTGTGAGCCCACTATGTACCCTTTGAGGGTAATGTTGTTATATGGATGGTACCTCTGGCTGAGGTAATGACCAGGCTAGAAAATATTATTCCAAGAACAAGTAAGCAGATATCAATGGTAGACAAATAGTAAGGGTGTGACTTAAGAGTAAATGGGCATAAATACAGTACATAAAAGATGATCTTCCTGCTGTGCCCATGAGGGCTATTTATAAGGAAAATGGTGTGGGTTGGTGAGGTGGGGGTAAGCCCTCCTTGGGATGTGTTCCCCTGATGGCAGTGTTAGGCGCGGTTGGCGCTGCCACAATGGCAGCGCTGCACCCACTGCATCAGGCGATGTTAGCACTGAGCAAAGGGGCAGATTCCTTTGCAGTGCTTATGGCGACTGCCTTTAGCGGTTAATGTCCCAAAGTGGGACATTTTGGTGTATCTTTTGGACGTGTTGCAGTCTTGGAGATCGTGAGGGTTAACGTCAGCCCTAAGGGCTGACGCAGAAGAAGGCTGAGGATTGAGCCTGAGTAACTGGACCGCTCCAGTGCTTGGGCCATCCGGAACACCTTGTTTCTTGTTCTTCATTCTGGTGGGTATCTTCGGTTCAACTTCTTGTCTCAACGGATATGGTGCTTCTTTTTATTTTTTGCAGATCTGGGTTTGGACCCTTTAAGAAAGAGTAGCAATGAGGCATTTGTAGATCTGAGAACATGGATGCAGCCGAATGAAGAATCTTTCATTAAAATGTTGGAACTCGGTGGAAAGCTTTTTCCACAATGGAGTAGGAATAGGATTTTATAGTTTCCACAGACGACGAAGCCAATGTACCGATGGTGATACATAGACGTGTTTTATGGAGGATGAAGTATGTGAATATAGGGGTGTTCATAGTGACAATGGTAGAGACCAAACCACTATAGAGGCTTCCTATGTATTGTGCATCAAGGGGGAGTGTGTGTGGCTAAGATGGCTCTGCATAGGGGTAGAGTAACAATATAGGTAAGAGTGGAGAAGAAGATCCTCCATCCATGTGTGAGGGGGGGGGTATTTAGAAAGGAGATTCATCTCTAGCATAGGGGAGCCAACTGGTCTGTCCCATGAGCTGTCTCATTAAGCCATATCTTGTCCTGAGACAAGGCATGCTGCCCACTGTCAGTGTACATGACAGCAATGCAGGGAAAGAGAATGTCCCAGTTATGAGCCTCTATGGCTTGCCATGAGTGTCTTCTAGAAGATTCTAGAATGTGTGGGCTTAGTGATATGGGGCCCAATCTTTCTAGGCCTAAGTGGGTATCCCTATAGCTTCGTATTTCACCCCTATAGTGACATATTTCACCCCTAGAATATACATACTTGGTTTCTCATATACAGCTAAGGGTTTTGGTTTTGTCCTTTAACATTACACAAAAAAGTTTTCTACACACACAACATTTTGTGGGGTCTGCACTTTTTAAAGCAAGAAAAAAAAACTAAGACACGCAAAACGAATCTCTATAACATTACACAATTACTTTTTTTACAACATAACTCTTATAAAACTCTACGGCTAATAGTTTAGAGCTTATTTATCTTTTTAACCGAGGTCTTTAGTTTTAACCAATATTTTTTAATATTTTGATTATGAATTTATTTTTAAGTAAAATAAACTAATAATTTCAGTATAAAAAATTAGGTAAGAAATCCGAATCATGATACTCGATTATGCTTATGAAAAGAAAAATTCTTAAGATGGTCAATGAAGAAATATTCGAATACAGAACCACTAGGGTTAGCCTAGTGGCGTGGAATGTGTATGTTAGGTGTGTGTAGTTTTTGATTCTCATTATAATGCAAAAAAATAAAAATAAAATAAAAAAAATTCGAATACAAGTCTACCTATGAGTCCAAAAGACGCTTACCACTTAACCAACCACTTTAATAGCATATTAAACTAATTAAATATGTACAAATAGACATTCATTAAATCTAATACTCAGTTGCATCAAATTTAGAACATCCTAAAAAGGTAATATTACAAGCACACAATTAATTTTAATTTTTTGTAAAATATTGTAGAAACTACTTAAAAATTGAATTACTTGTACATAATTAATTTTCAATTTTGTAAAATATTATAGAAACTACTTAAAATTGTAATTACTCAGCTTTTACTATACTTTTGAAATTTTACTTAAATTTAATTAAAATTATTAATTATATTAACTTCAGCTCATGCAACTAATTCAAATAAAATATCCTTTAACACAAAAACCGAAGTTAAGTTTTATAATTAGATATTTAAAGAATCAGGTGTTTTAAAAATAAATAAATAAACGAATTGCACTTTTATTTGCCTTATGCACCTTGAAAAGCATAAACTGATATCAAAATTTTATTTGCAAAATGTCAAATTCATAGTAAACCAGCAAACTGAAGCTTTCAGCTCCAGCTTCAGCACAGTTAAGCTACAAAATAGAAATCACTAGGAAGACACTGTCTGTTTAAAACTGGAGATACCATCCCGGGCCAGCAAGATATTCAAAACATAATTCTCAGATATGAAAAACAATGAGAGAAAAATAAGATAAAGTAAAATTCATGAAATGGATATATGTTCAATCCATGGTGAATTCAACGTTTCATATTTGTAAACAAACATCTAATAAAAAAATAAAAAATAAAAAAATTAAAGAATTGTAGCTGGCACAACACAAAAAATAAAAAATATAAGCCACATATGCTTCTTAGTAAAGCCTAATTCTTGTGTTAATGGGGCTTCTGCACATGGGGCACGACTGAAGATCTTGTCCACATTCACAACAAGTCTGTCAAAAAAAAAAAAATTAGAGATTAAATAACATTCTTTTTCTCCTTAAAGAAGCTTACATTACACGTCTTTTCTTTTCTATTTTGAAAAATTAAATTCCTCTTAGCATCATCTTAATTCCCTCTCTATGTGGCACAATTTTGAAACACTACAATCGACTTTGAAACTTTAGAAGATGAAATGAAGATTTTGGGTTAACTTCTGAGTCTTATAAATTTAATGGGGCTATTCAAAACTTTATTTCATTCTTTAAAGTTTTGTAGTCGAAGTGAAATGTTCAAAATTAGTTGCTGGTGACAGTTAGGGTGATAGAGAGAAGAAAAATATAAGGCTTGTTTCCAGTTGCTCAACACCATTAATAGATTCATTTACATTAACATGGACTAAACATTTCACCTCTCAAAGGAAAAAGAGTGTATTAAAAAAGGTAAAGGATTTCTCCAGTAACTGGAGATAAGGTTATCTCCAATGAACTCAAAACGACGTTGTTTTGAGACAGAAATCAAGATGTTTTTGTAATTATAATATATTACAAGGTTATATTAGTCTTTATCATTATAATTTTTTAATCTTATAATTCCAAAACGACGTCGTTTTGAGCTCACTGGAGATAACTTTATTTTCAGTGACTGGAGAAATACTTTTCCTATTAAAAAAAAGAAAAAAGAAATATCATTCTGAATGACACAAGCTTGTGTCATTTTAGGTAAAGTTGTTTTTTTTTCTCTCTTCCCAGTCACATCGCTGACGTGTAAAGTGAAAAAAAATAACTTTTCAGAATTACACATAGTACGACTGGTCGTACTATATGCAAATCACTAAAAGGACACAACTTGTGTCCTTTTGAATGACACACACTAAACCCTTAAAAAAATAAGAGAAAGCATAATTTAAGTATTTATCAGAGTAGAGAAAAGTAAAAACTACTCTATATGAAAACCCAACTTGAGAGGATAGGATTAACGAGGGAAATTATTGTACACGTCCTTGCATTTTTGTAAAGAAATTATTACCCACCAGTAGAGGAATTTAGTTTATTATAAAAAAAAAAAAAAAAAAAAAATTGTGAAATGAACTTCCCTTATTTGATGTTCCCCAAAAGTGTACAGGAAGAAAATATTGTATTTACCTGATGCCCGCATCCAAAGGCCATGTCTTTTGAATTGCTCAGACAAATTGGGCAAAGCTGCATAAGGTCAGTTTAATTTGTCAATTGTATAAAATAAATTCATGATAACCGCCGTTTGAGATTCAGACATGACATTAGACATATAAAATGGAATTAGAGACACCAAAGTTATGCAACAAATGACACTGTAGATTAACAGGTTCTGTTTTACCACTCAAATCAAACATGCTTGTTTCATTCGTAGTAGAATAATCAGGCTCTTGATGCCTTGAGTTCTCTCCAGCAGAACAAGTTAATCAAAAATCAAAAAGCTCCTCAAAATGATCGAATCCATACAACAGCTTTTTGTTTCTTTTTAATAAAAGAAGGAAAATAGCTATTTTAACTCTGGTCCGGTACATACAACTAAATTAAACCAATGTTTGCAACCCTGTAAATTTATATGAAAATGAACTCATTTGAAATAAAATAAGGGTTATATTTATCTTATGTTGCATAAGATAAATAAGTTTCCTACACATACAAAGTGGAGGTAGGTCCCATATTTATTTTTTCTCTCTCCTCTTACATGTGGGTCCCACTCGTAATTCTATTTTTTTTTTTTTTTTTTGTATAAAGTAATTCTATTTCTATAACATGAAACAATCATTTTCTTAGAACATAAGATAAATATAACCCTTATTTTATCTAGCATTCCAACTTCTTAAATTTGGCAGCTGCTTTACAATAGCTATCATAATGATGGTATAACTAATGCCTACAACCATACTCAATATATGATATATTGACCTACAAACATTCATGGTCAACCTAGCACTGCCTTGGATCTTGTCCATTTTCTTTTGTTATAATTTAATCACTTAAAGGAATTCTATATTAAAGAATGAAGATATATGGTAGTTTTGAGTATATGCAGTTACATGAGTGAGGAGGAATCCAATTTCTCAACTGAGGCATTTGATGATAATAACAAATAAAAGGCTAAATTGGAACAAGAAAATAAATAAGGAACAAATGTAAATTCACATAGTTTCATGCAATTCATAGGCACATTCTTCAAGGAGATTGCTCCCAAAAAACCAAATTATGAAACTTAAAAGAGATTATTCTATTAGAAGACTTCGTACTTGATTGTCATAAGTGGAACTTGGAGCAGAAGGAGCAGTGCCAACTGGGTGGCTGATGCTATGATGAGGAGGGATCCTTGGCTCGAACCTAGCAGCATGAGAAGGCTTTGAAGTGCCCTGAGATGCTGAATTATATGTGGGGGGTGGTAGGGGAACTCTCTGAGGAGCGTTGGACTCACGACCACTACTTTAATAGTAGTAAGCATAAATGATAACAAAAGTTTCATCAGAAAATGAATACAAGAAATTTAAAACCAATAGGAATAGTAAGGAACCAAAATAGCTACCCCGGTAGATTAAGCTCTATTGCTGCCTTATACTGAGAAGGAATTTCCATCAATGCTGCAAGTGCAAATGCTGCCTCTTTTCGTGAATGAGGCATGTTCTTTGACATAATCTCCGTGAAATTCACAAACTAAAGAGGAACAAAGAGAAATCCATAATGATTCATTGGATAAATTTCCATTAGCATGAACATTTTAACAAGTATTAATGAAAGTTCTGTGTTCCACTCATCATTTACCTGAAAATTATCAAAGGCTCGAGCTGGGATATTGTCATCAAATTCCTTCATCATGTCCCATGGTCCATCTCCAACACCAACCAATATGATTGAAAGAGGGAATTTACTGTGACAAAGCAGGCATAAAAGCACGATGTTTTAATAAAAATAAAAATAAAAATAAAAATTAAATTAAATTCTCAAGCAAAAGCTAAACCAGAATCACCTGGCCTCAACAATGGCATTCACAGTCTTCTGTTCTTGTGGACTTAGTTTCCCATGTTTAGTGTCAACACTTCTTGTTACCTGTACCATACATTGTGCATCAGAGGCATGGTATATTCCAACCCGTGATCAAAGAGGAAATTGGTGGCTGAAAGGATATCTCAGAGGCATTGAACTTGAGCACAATGATGTCAAAGGGATTATTGAGAAGGTGAAGAACCAGTGAAATTGTAGTTTCGTCACTACCCTAGTTTGCTAGGAAACTTGTGTTTGTATAAACCAGAATGAGACAAACAGATAATTGCAAGATGCATAGCTACAGAATATCAGCTCATATATATCATGAGGCAATCACATTTCCTATAAACCTATATAACTTTCTGAGAGCTCAAATCTACTTTTCAATGGCTAAAAGTTGCGTCCAGATCTGATCCCCATTTATATCAATAGAAACCTCTGTCACATATAGTAAGGAAACAATCACATGTTGGACTCTAAGCTGTATAATATAACCATTAAATCTAAATCACTGTGCCATAAATAATATATGGAAAAAGAGTTCAATTCTCGTGTTATCATTCTTCGATTTGCGTGCAAGTTTTTTTTTTTTTTTTAATAAATATGGAGTCTACCACTAGTTGAGTCACAAACATGAGAATTCAATTATCATGTAACATGAGAAAATCATATCCCATAATATATTCGTAGTAACTGATTCTATTCTATACTGCCAAAAAGTTTCCTATTTGAAAATAATTTCTTTTAGCATTTCAATTAATTCACAATAAATTGTTTTAATCTCATTTCTTATACAATCTAGCCCCAAAAGGGCACGTACAATATTAGAAAAAAAAAATACGAATATAGATGTTTTGTTGGAAAATGAGTTTCAAAAAAATTCTAAAACCATTTATTGACTGAAATGTAACTATTGCTAGTATATACTTATCACAGATTCATTGTTTTTAGTGCATATAATTACATCTTTTCCATGTATATGCAGCATTTATATTATAAACATCTCCAATTATAGATGCATATATCTGTAAGCCTGTCATTCCCTCGATACAGCTAATACAACGCATAAGAAAAACGTACAAGTTGTTGAAGTAGCAAACAAGGGAATTAGTTTATGGGTTTTATAATTCTCATTCAACATGAGAATTCAAATTTTCCTACACACCCTTCGATTTTTGTACTGACATGGATCCCACATATAATTTTTTTTAACACATGGGTCCCACATGTTTTTTATCTCTACAACATGAGGATTGAATTCTCATTCAACATGACTAAATCAAACCCCTTAGTTTATATAGCATTAGTGAGTGAAATGGATCCACCCAGAAGCCATTGGTTGAATTGTTATGCAATCCAAAAAAATGTTTCACATAATCCATTTTTGGGGCAACTTGATATCTTTTAGCACTCCAGAAACAGTGCCAGTTTTTCATACTTCATTCAGTTTAATGAACATCCATGCATTAAGTGGAAAAAAGCAGTAACACAAATTCAGGAGAAAGATGGATTCTTAGTCCGATCGCTTTTGACTAAAAGAAAATAATTAAATAGAAGTATGAATCAAGGAGAAAGCACGAATCAAGTCAATCTAGCAAATCAAGTTATTTACCGAACTAAATCCCAACAATTAAAAACAATAAAATTGATATTTGAAAAATCCAAGGGAAAATGGAAAATCAGTTTCTTTTTCTTTCCATTCATTTTTTTTTTTTTCAATTACATTCGTATTTTCATTACAATGGAAAAAAAGTATTTTGATTGGTATGATCCACGGGTTTCTCAAATATGCATTCAAAAATATAATTTTTTTTGAAAAGATACAAAATTCCAGATTCGATCTAGTGAATAAAAAATCCACCCTCTAATTACTCAGTCAAAGACAGCTCCATATATAATGTACATAGAACAGAATACCTGGCCATCTGCGATTATTACCAAAACATGGTACTGGCCTCCACTCTGCTCAACAATGGTCATGGCCATTTCAATTATTGGAGCAAATGAAGTAGGACCTGAAATAAAAATAACAAGCACCATTAACTCAATATTAGAATATCTATAACAGGAATTAGTAGAATATCCCTAACATAAGAAAATTAGTTGAAATATAACCTGCAAGTCGAAGATGAGGAACAATTTCCCTATACCGACTCAACACGTCTTCAAATCCATTGCAAAAACTTTCATCCGGATAGAAACTGAAGACATCTTGATCATGTGTTGATGCTGCCATGATATCATAGTAATTCTTATTACCATCTCTCATCTTCAAAAGAAAATAAAATAAAATTCTATATTGCTAAATCTTGATGAACTTTAAGAGATACCATCTCCAAATCCAAAACAAGGAATCAAGTTATCCTCATCGAATGCTGCCAAGGTTTTCCCAATAATTGATATTGCTTGTTCATAGGGATTCAGACCACTCCCAATGTGATGCAAGCTTCGTCTATTAAATGAATTCTTTCCTAAAACCAACACCAAGTTTAACATATTTCACTAGAACACACTGCAAAAATTCGAACTTTTGTTAGAAAAGATATATAAATAAAGCCTAACCTGTCCATTCGTTACTCTTGGTGAAATCAATGCCAACAATAAGATTGGAAGACTCAAGGCCTGCACGTGCAAGAGCCTCAGTAACCTGTTACCAAATATAAGCAATAGCACCATTAGTGAAAAAGGAATTTGAAAATTACATGAAAATATCAACACCAACCTAAATCATTCCTAATCACACGAAAATGCACTCTAAAGTAGCTATCACTATAGTTCTAAACTCATTGAAAATAACTAAATATGCAGAGTATTTGTCTTTCCATCAGTGAATTCAATTTAGCATACTTCAACGAGCCCATATTAAAGCAAGATGAACAAGCTGCCATTCAAATAAGGCAGGCTACTTCAAAAAAATCTAAAATGGCAAAATAAACCAATTTTTTTTTTTTTTAATGTTTTTACCCTAGAAGAAACAGAGGATGAATTTTTTTATTTTAAGTAAATATTCTCTAAATTATTTAAAAATAATAATAAAATAGACATAATAATAAGTTTAGAAAATCTTTCATTCTTACCTTATTTATTTTCATAAACATTCTATAATTCTCTTAATTTAAAAATGAAATCTTTTTCCACGTTTTCCTTTCCCACAAAAAACATCCATCTCAACATACAAGTGCTAATAAAACAGTAACAAATTACACAAGTCTTACCTCATCTATGGAATTATAACCATCAGCAATTCTTGAGTACCTCCTCTCTAGCTTGGTATTATAATCATGAGCCACTCTACCACCACCATAAGGTTCATAACCATAATGATTTTGAAGGGGAGTGTCATAATTCAGCTCCGAAGAAGAATAAGAAGGTTGTGGATCATAGCTATAACTCCCCTGACCATAACCCAAATGGGGATCAAAATATGCACTCCAAGAAGACGCAGAAGAACTTGAACGTATAGATGAACTCTGCCTCCAACTATCTTCCTTAGAACTTCGAACCCCCATCAAACCACAAAGTCCTAAGATCACTCTTCTACTTACAAATACAGGGTACAAAATTATACCAATCTGAATCAAAGGCCTATACAATAAAGCAAGCAAATAATAAGCAAACACCCAGATGAAAATGAACACATAAACCAATACCAAATGCTATAAAACGAGATAAATGTATCGTCTTGGAGGTTGAAGTTTCCACTTTCCATGCAAATTCTCAACCTTTTTCATGCCACAAGTAAAGAGGAAAAGAAGTGGCTTTACACACACGACTAATCCACACAAAATCCACCAAACTAAGCAACACAACATCGTGAAGTTACTGCAACAGAAAACACTAAGATTCTTTTGACTAAACACACGCTAAAGTATCTTTTGACTAAACGCCAAAACTAAACAAAGTTTAGTTCAATGAAGCAAGAGGAAAAGGTCAAAAAGAAAAGAAAAATGAATACAAAGTAGTATAAAGGAAAACTACTTAAAACTAGAACACTAAGATTCTGAGATTATTATAAATTCCACAAACTTAGCAGCAATGCATCAAAACCAACAAAAACAACGTAAACGACACAGAGCATCGTAACTGAACTCTGTTTGCTGTTATGTATGAGAAAACGACTCACGTTTTGCTGAAGAAGTTAAAAAAAACAGGAAGTGAAGTGATTCTAGATGCTAATTTCTCAATGTTGAAGATTCCAATACGATGATGGTGATCAAGATAAAGACCGAAACATTGGAACGTTCTGGGTTCGTGCGTAAAGTTACAGTTTGAGACAGAGAATCTTGAATGGTGTATACGCTATTGCCCAATAATTGAAGATTCGAATAATAAGCTTTTTGAAAACTGAAAAAGGTGAGACAGAAAAAGGAAAGGCTCTTTCTTTCTTCTTTTTTTAGGCATGAGATGAGGAAGAAGCAAGCAACATGGAAGTTTCGTGTTTCGTGTTGAAATTCGAATTTGAAACGGTTATAGTTCGGTGCAAACTGTTAGGTGCAGGAGTTTGGCACTGTTACATGAATAATTTTGTCTTGTCCTCCCAAAAACACGATTACTTTTCGATCAAGTTTTGGTTAACGTTTAAGTTAAGAACAATGTTATTAAAAGCGTGTTCATTGATCCGGTCTGGTTCAAATGTATGACCCGTTAAGTACATACAATTCAATTTGCTGGTTCGCCATGTGGTTCCTTTTGGTTTGAATCAGCTGCTGATTCAGGATTCTAGCTTCCTAGTTTTCTAGTTTTTTCCTTTCTTTTCCTTGGGCCTTGGCACGCCTTCGTACTTAAAAAAAAATTAAAATTAAAAAAATAAAAAAATAAAAAATAAAAAAAATAAAAAAAATAAAAAAAAAAATAAAAAAAATAAAAAAAAAAAATAAAAAAAAAAAAAAAAAAAAAAAAAAAAAAAAAAAAAAAAAAAAAAAAAAAAAAAAAAAATAAAAAAATTAAAAAGTATACATACAATTCTATAATTTATATTTAAAAAACTATAAACATACTTAATATCAATTCTAAATATTTTAATATGAAAAATAATAAATCACACATCATTATCTAACAAAAAATCAAATAAACATATAATAATAGTGATATTAATGCTTCAGGTTCAGTAGACAATATCTCTAACTATAAATTAAATCAAAATTTCTTGCATAATATATAATCAAGATAATAGTAGTACTGTAGGTGCATAACCTATGTAAGTCAATAAATAACAAATCACTTAAATATTTCAAAAGAAAACAAATCATTTGTGAATTTAAAAAAAAAATTGATATCCTTCGATTCCAATGCTTGGCCGATCCCTTGCTTCACTCGAACCAATTATATGATTGTTTCTCGAGTTGATCCGGATTTATCAACATTCGTTAAGACAATATGTTGATTTTTATTTTATTTTATACTACTATTTTTTACTTCTTAACAAAACCTTTTTTTTATTTTATTTTAAATTTGATTTTAGCATTTAAAAAATAAATTACATATTAGATTTGTACCATTTGATGGAAAATTTTATTAACTATAACTAGGAGGGAATTATTTCCCAATCAAATGCCGGAAAATTTTTGACCATTTTATAAAAAAAGGAAAAAAAATAATTTATTGAATTGTAAGCATGTGGGAATTATTTCCAAATCTATGCTGTTGAGTATAATTGTGGAGCATGATGTTAGGAAATTATATTTTCTAATAATTATTGTGGGTCACATATTATATTAATAATTATATTGTGCTATTTATATATATTGGGTAAATTAAAGTGATCAGTTAAATATTTCCAAATAGATTCCTAAGTGAGTATGGGTTGAATGAGTGGATACCGGTGTTGGGCCAACTAGGTATAATGGGAGCTTATTAGCCCAACAATAAAGATAAAAACACTATAAAAAAGGGTTATGGTCCCCAATACGTCATATCAACAACCCTAGTTTCTCTTCCCCATCAAGAGAGAGACGACATACTAAGAAATAAGGTTTTAGGGTGATTTGACTGAGGAAGACTACAAACCCCAAGAGACAAGATCAAAGTTATTCCGCTGCAATGGAGACAGGTATTCCTCCACCTTTATGTTGTTCTTATTTTTCTTTATGATTTGGTATGATGGATCTTGGCTTGTGGGTGATAGTTATCACCATAAAGTTTAGAGGAATTAAAAATTCCAACAATTGGTATCAGAGCCATCATCATATTGAATTACGAGGGAATTAAGTTTTGTGATTTTTATATATGATTAATCATGAAAAGTTTTGCTTTATTATCTTTTGGCATAAAGTTTGTTATTTTTTGAACGTGGGTTCCATCTTATGTATTTTGTATTAGCTATGTAGTGTTTTCTTTCTTAAAAGCTAAATATAATTTTGTTGTTGTTGATATTATGCATCATTTTCAAGCTTTCATATGAAAAGGCTTACATGTGCATTGTTTGTGCATCATTTTTTAAGCCTTATAATGAATAGGTATTTATTGTTAATGGTATAAGGATAAAGTATGTATGTATATACATTGAGGATTGATAAAGAATAATTTTCTTTATTGTTGTTATTTTGGTTTTAAATGGGTTTATTATCCCTAAAGGTTTCTATTTGAAATTAAATATGATAGATTTGTTAGCCGCCACAGTGGCCAAATTTATAAAAGGTTAATTTGATTTCAAATAGGTTGGTCATATAAATATATTTTATTTATGCAAATATTAATCGGCCCACAGGAAGGTTATTGTTTGGCCAAATAACATATGTTGTGTGATCATGTGTGTGTTTATTGCTTATGCGAATAGTGATCGGCCCACAGGAAGGTTATTATTTGGCCAAGTAACAAACATACCTGTGGTAATAAATATGTGACAATTATCAAGAATTCTCCATGTAATTCATAGTCGGCCCACAGGAAGGCTATGATTTGACAGGACTTATTGTCAATGTTTGATTACTACATTAAGAGTACCACTTACAAGTTGATATTTTTGTCCACAGACTAAATATTAATGTTGTGCTAGGTATCTTATAATAAACTCATTTTACTTCGGATTATTTGTCTATATCGTGTATGAATATATATGATATGACATGTTATTAGTATGTTATCTTTTTTGGTTCTCTGTATAGTTTCTGCTACCGCTGCCAATTATGTTGCTCAAATGAATATGCTTCCAATGCTTAATGGGGCAAATTTCAAGCTGTGGAAAGAGAATATGGAAATGTTCTCGGTTGCATGGATCTCGACAATGCGCTAAGGACTGAGAAACCCACTTCCACTCAGGAAAATCCAAACACGGATAAAATTGAAAAGTGGGAACGCTCAAATCGCATGTGTCTGATGATCATGAAACGTTCCGTTTCGGAGGCGTTTAGGGGCTCGATTGTTGAGACTACTGATGCCAAGTTGTTTCTGAAGGAACTCGAGCAATACTTTGCTCGAAATGAAAAGGCTAAAATTGGTCAAACCTTGTCCAAACTCATAAACATGAGGTATAAAGGAAAGGGAAACATAAGGGAGTACATTATGGAAATGTCTAATCTTGCTGGAAAACTAAAGGCATTAAAGTTAGAGCTGCCCTCTGAGTTGCTCATGTACTTAGTTATTATCTCTCTTCCTGCACAATACGGTCAATTTGTGGTGAGTTATAACACTCAAAAGGAAAAATGGACTCTTAATGAGCTCATTTCTCACTGCGTGCAAGAGGAAGAGAGGTTACAGCGAGAGAAGACTGATAGTGCTCACTTGGCATCAACCTCTCAAGACAAGAAAAGAAAGAGAGCTAAGGATAATGCAGATGCTTTGCCAAAGAAGCAAAAGAAGCAGGACCAGGAATTCACCTGCTTCTTTTGTAAGAAATCTGGACACATGAAGAAAGAGTGTTCCAAATACAAGGCATGGCGCGAAAAGAAGGGTATGACTCTCACTTTAGTTTGTTGGTACTGGTTCTGTGGCACAAGCGTTTAGGTCATATCTCTAAACAGAGAATTCAGAGGCTTGTGACTGATGGAATTCTTGAACCCCTTGATCTGGATGATTTTGAGGTGTGCATTGAATGCATAAAGGGGAAACAGACAAACATAAGGAAAATAGGTTCCAACAGAGCTTCAGACGTCTTAGAATTGATTCATACGGATATTTGTGGACCATTTCCTATAGCCTCTTGGAATGGTCAACAATACTTTATCACATTCATAGACGACTATTCAAGATTTGGATACCTATATTTGATTAGAGAGAAGTCACAATCATTGGATGTGTTCAAAGAATTTAAAGCTGAAGTTGAACTTCAGTTAGGCAAGAAAATTAAGGCCATTAGATCTGATCGTGGTGGTGAATACTATGGTAGATCTGATGGATCAGGTGAACAACGTCCAGGGCCCTTTGCGATCTTCCTAAAGGAGTGTGGAATCGTCCCGCAATACACAATGCCAGGTAAACCTAGCATGAATGGTGTTGCGGAAAGGCGAAACCGGACTCTTAAAGACATGGTGAGGAGTATGCTTAGTCATTCTTCATTGCCAGAATCACTTTGGGGAGAAGCACTAAAGACTGCAGTTTATATCCTTAATAGGGTTCCCAGCAAAGCAGTGACAAAAACCCCTTATGAGCTATGGAATGGAAAGAAACCTAGCATAAGGCATTTACACATTTGGGGTTGTCCAGCAGAAGCAAGGCCTTATAGGCCAAATGAAAGAAAGTTGGACTCAAGAACAATCAGCTGCTATTTTGTTGGATATGTTGAACGCTCTCGGGGCTTTAAGTTTTATAATCCCACTACAAGATCCTTTTTTGGAGACGGGAAATGCCAGATTCCTTGAGGATGTTGAGTTTGGGGGGAAGATAAAATAAGGAATGTTGTCTTTGATGAGGAAGAAAATAATATTTCTCTTCCTAATATTGTCATCATTCAAGATGCAATTACGGAACAAGCAATTAATGATCAGGTCCCTGTTCATGACATTGTTATGGAACAGGCTTTGGTCCCTGACATTGCTTTGGGTCAAGACAATAATGAACCACCCCCTATGCCACCTATAGAACAAACTCAACAAACTCAAGAAGTGCCATTAAGGAGATCCACTAGAGAAAGGAGAAATGCAATTCCGGATGATTATATTGTGTTTCTTCAAGAGCATGAAAATATTTTAAGCTTGAAGGAAGATGATCCAATCAACTTCCAACAAGTCTTAGAAAGCTCTAATGCTCATA